ATCTTTACATGCCTGCGTAAACTAAGTCAGATGTAGCAATAAAGGTACATACGAATCCCTGATTAACTGTGTATGATAGACCCAAACTTAAATTAAAATGGGGAAAAGATCGCAATGGTGTAGTCCCACCGTTTCTGGTTTTATTATAAACTATTCTTGGTTTCTAAAAAGAAGACACAGATGCAGACACAGCCTCTAGACATTCCATATACAAAATCCGTTTTTTATTGCCTTTGCATTTGGTTGCCAATAGATACAAGGTACAATACAAATTTGGTTTGCAGTAGATAACTTCGCTCAAATTTTTTACTTATAGACGCAGGCATGGCGTTTTCTTAAATGGCATTCTGATTCAATTTTAGCCACTTTAGAATCTTGAATTTGCCACCCATCGTTGATGTGTCTCTATGACTTACTTGATTTTGAACATGGCGATTGTGGATCCTTGTAAACTTTCACAGCATTGACATGTTTAACTGCACTGTAACTCATTTAATTTATTTAAAACACATTCCATTTTTAATTTATCGGTCTTGGCTAGTGGAGTGCTTTTAAATCGGCATGAGCTAATAGTTGGAGATACTTAAGCACAGATTTGTACCCATCCTGTACTCAGCATTTGTTCATGATTTTGTTCTTTGACTGACAACGGGTGGAGATTGTGTATTTACAGTGAGATGCAGACCGATGTTGAAATGCATGCGTAAAACAACTTAACATTCTTATAAAACCCCTAATTTTCTTGCCTCTGATTGCGTACGGAAATTACGGGCTCGGACTTGGAACATTTTTGCTGCAAAGTTAAAAGCACCAAAAATAGATGCGTTAGTATGGTTTATCCCCTGGTTTCTCGTTACTTGTTTCAAAAAACAGCTAACTCTAGGCGAACGTTGTCTTATTCTTTGTAGAGCTCACTGTAAAGATTGCGCACGTTTATGGTAAATTTTTAGGACACTTGTAATGGGAAATAACACTTTTAAGGCCATAGTCGCCGTTTAAAATTTGTTTCGACTAGATCGCTTGAATTTTAAAATAAAATTCATATCGATAGAATAGTTTTCAACGTCTCCCGCCTTAGCAGAATACACATTTTCACCAGCACCTGCATCTCGGGTGTCTCTCATCCATAGCATCAAATGGCTGAAAACTAACGATCAGCTCCAGTCATTTCTACCGCTCACTTATGTTTCATGTTTCGTAACCAACTCGCTCTCCCATTGACATATGACAACTTCATTCCGAAAAGGACGACTAGTCGTCCTAATTACTCTGAAATGGATCCCAATAAATCAGTAATATCCTTTTCTTTCCTTTAATGGCTCTTAAGCCTTTTTATCCACTGGCGCAGTGGGAGTTTGTGTCCAGGCTACCCCTCCCTACCACCACTCCTTCTACAGCCTTCAAAGTATTTCCGCCTCATGAAGTTCGTTTAATAGGATTTAAAGGTCTTAGAGACTTTTATTTACCTCGGTGAACACGAAAAAGTCACTACAACAAAGTGTATGGAAACGTGTTGTGCACTACAAGTGACCGAGGCTTTAAGGGCAATTTTCAACACTTCTTTAAGGCGAATTTGACCTCCTGGCCTGAGGATCGGTGTGATTTTCCGTCGCCCCCCCTCCATCCCTACCTCCCTCAAACTACACCCCTTTGAAGCATTGTAGTCCATAATGATCACAAGACTTGGCAATATCTTGACGGAACTTTTGGTGAACATTGTAGAAACCAATCCTCAGTTTTATTTTTGGGTTTCTTTAGTCACTTTATCTGAGTTTAATTTTATTAAACAGGTCATTGTGGCATGGATTCAATGTTTACAGCAAGTGACCTTTTTGCCCTAAAAAATCTACTCTCCCCAGAAGATGATTCAAGCGATGAAGAGAGAGTAAGTTTTTTTTCCCCTCTTTACCAAGGTCACACTCACTCCACTGTGTTGATTGAGTTCTTTAAAAGGGGCTTTTTTTTGCTTCAGTTGGCCAAACCATCCATTCGAAATAATCCCGGTGACATTGGACCGAAGAAACGGAAAAAGCAAAAAGCGAGAGGTAATTGACACCTTCAATTCAATCCACTACAAATGTTTTGACAGAAGATGAGACAGACAAGAAACCCACCGTGGATCCAAATGCCATTTGGCAGAGAGAAGAAATTCCCGAGACGGCCTATGTGGAGGACATATACGATCCACGTCCTCGACCGGAGTGAGTTGGGAGAAACAATCGTACCCTCCAACTTATTGTTAATTGGGCTTATTTAATGCCAATTTACCACTCTGGAGGTGGTAAACACAACACTTCCTATCTGCTAGGGCAAAAATTGCTGGTCGTATTGTCATCTTCTGTCGTAACAACTTTGTAAGAATTGCTTTGAGGCACTCCAAGATGCACTAGTGTCGAGACAAACCTTCAAATTTTTTTTAACATTACCAAAAACCTTCATAATGCTACCGTTGAAGGGTGGCAAGGCGGTTGGGGATACAGAAAAGGCACAGGTTAGACTCAGCGCTCCCATTGTCATCCACTGATTCGTTTGGATGCT